TCTCTCTGTAAATGCAATAAACAAAAGAAACAATAAGTGATCTACAAACTACAAATTATATACAAAGTTACTGGGACAGTGATGTAATTAAAGCAAAAGTCCTTTTACAACAATGTGGCATTTAGACTTATAAAGGATTCTTGAAGGAAATAAATCCTCAAAAGGGTTTGCCAGACCCGCCCGCCCCCAAGGTCCAATTAATTAGAAAGAATCCAAGATGTGTGACCCCTGCCTCACGTGGGCCCCATCTATCTTTCATACCTCCTTTTGGGCAATTCTTCCATCAATTCCTGTGCTCTAGCTTGCTACATGCAGATGGTTACTTCTCTAGCCCCATCCAGATGCTGAAATCCAAAGCCACAGGTGATGGTACTTGGAGACAACACGTTTGGAAGGTGAGTAGATCATCGGTGCACCCCAGAATGTTTCCTAATCCCTGCCACCATGTGAGGTTAGTGCCCGAGAAGTAGGATCCTGGGTCCTGGGTCCACCATGATCTTCAACGTCCCCACCTCTTGAAATTTAATGCTGAGACCATAGTTGTAATTAATTACGCTTCTGAAAGAGGATTTATTTTTATTTACGTATTTGTATGTGTTTCAAGCATGTGCTAGCACCCACTAGGAGAAGGTGTCAGGTCCCCTTGAGCTGGAGTTCCAGGTGGTTGTGACACACCCTCTGTGGGTGCTGGGATCTGAACTCGGAAGAGCAGCAGGCACTCTTGGCCACTAAAGCCATCTTACCAGCCTCCTCCCACCCCCTACCCTTTTTTATTTAAAGCACAATCTTCTCACTGGCCCAGGCTGGCCTGGGAACTCACAGGTAACCAGACTGGCCTCAAATTCCTGAGTGCTGGGATTATAGGCACATACGACCACCCACAGCTTAATTTGTAGCTGGAGACTGACCCCAGAACTTTGTTCATATAGGCAAGCATTGTACCAACAGAGCTACGTCCCCAGCCTTTCTTTTTCTGAGGTGTGTGTGTGTGTGTGTGTGTGTGTGTGTGTGTGTGTGTGTATGTGTGTGTGTGTGTGTTGTTCTTGGGTGTGTGCGTGCAGTGTGTGAGTGTGGGTATGTGTGTGGTGTGTGTATGCATGTGTACAGTGTGTGTGTGTATGCATGTGTACAGTGTGTGTGTGTATGCATGTGTACAGTGTGTACAGTGTATGTGTGTGTGTGTGTGTGTGTGTGTGTGTGTGTGTGTATGTGTGACTTTGCTGTCCATCCTGGTTCCTAATTCACAGGCTCACTCCATTTTCAGCTTCTCCAGTAGCTGGTCCTACAGGTTGGGATGGTACCCGGCTCTTATCACTAAGCTTCCTTCCTTGCCGGGACTGCCACTGGAGGAGCTGGGATGAAACCCCGAGCTTTCTGGCTCCTGCCCATTTAGTAAGCCTCAGCAGTGCCTCCTCGTTGGCCCCAGGAAAACAGCGACAGGCCCAGCTCCGCTGCCAACTTCAGTGAGCAGAGTCACTGGTGGCCAGGGAGATCCAGGCAACCTGGAGTGTAGCAGCTGGCCAAACCACCAAACCACCCGGCACCTCTCCCCTCTCCTCTCCTAGGCTATGCTTCCTTCCACTGGGGTTTAAGGGACTGTCTGGCTAGGGCTCTCGACTCTCCACTCTCATTCTCCTAATGCTGCTCCTGCATCATCTGCCTCCAGGACCACAGAAACGTGGCTGAGGGTGAGGGGATCCACCTCTGGATTCATAAACCTCCCCGTCTCCTCCTCTCTCATTCTCTCTCTTCCCTTTGCTCTTCCTTCTCCTCCTTGTCCATTACCTCCCCAACCTTCCTTCCCTGTCCCCCAGTCAGCCTCTAAAACCGTCCCTTCCAACCCTCCCCACCACAGCGACCACCGACACAGCGACTTGTTTTTCCCGGTCACACCAAACTTTGTCTTTCTTTTCACACCTTCTTGCTCTCGACGAGCCGGCTGGCTGTGGGCAGGACCCCGCCCCTCCACGAAGGTGGGAAGGTGAGCAGCGGCGCGGAGCGTTCGGGACCCCGGTCCCCTCCGGGATGTGCCACGAGGGCACCGCTGCTGCCGAGGCCCTGCGCCGCGGAGCCTGAGCGTCGAACGCGTTCCGGTCCCTCCCCGAGGCTGGAGATAGACGCGAACTTGAGGTTCGCCGTCGAGAAGGGCAGTGGACGACCGGGAGAGTCCCAGTCGTCACCGCCCCAATCCTCGGCTGAAGGGAAGGTGACAGGGGGTCACCGATGGACACTCGAGTCCTACTCTCCGGGAGGGCTGAGTCAAGCGGCCCCACAGGCCCTGGGTCCCGGTCCCGGCGGGGCCTGGGGGTCCCCTAGGGCTCCTCCCCACCCCCACTCGCGGTCCGCGGCTCCCCAGACCCCCCCTCCCTTTCCTGACCGCCGCCCCCGGCGGCTGGCGCGGGAGGTGCAGCATGCGGCAAAGCGGTTTGCATAAATTATGCTCATGACGCAGCAGCTAAAAAAATCCAAGTAGCAGAAGGAGGGAAAGGGGGGGGAGGAGGGAGGAGGGGGCGAGGAGGGGACTGCACCTGGCCGCCCCCGCCCCCGGCGTCCCGGCCCGCGCGTGGCCCGCAACCCACCGCCGCTCCGCTCTGCCAGCCCCGGCGGGGGCCCCGGGGGGCGGCGGGTCCCGAGTGGCTCCGGGCCGAGCGAGCCGGGCCGAGCGAGGCGCTCCGGCTTCTTTGTCTGCGGGCGGCCGCCTGGGCCGCGGCCCCCTGGCCCGGGCTGGGAGATGAGTGTCTAGTCGGTGGCCGCTGGGCAGCCGGGGAGCGGGAGGCTGGGCTTCGGGCTCCGGTGAGTAGCGGGGTCCGGGGCGGGGAGGGCTTTGCACGGAGGGGGAGGGGGCCAGGCAGGGGAGGTTTCGGATTTGGTTAATATGCAATGCCCGTAATTAGCATAATTTATATATTTATGATAAAGAGAGGAAAAAGGCGCGGGGCCGGGGCGGCGGGCTGCGGCCCGGGAGGCGGGCGCTGTGGGAGCGGACGGCCGCGCGCTGCCCACCTGGGGCCGCAGACCCCGGGCCGCGCCCTGGTCCCCCGTCCCCCGCGGACACCCGTGGAGGGGCGGCCGCCAGGTGGACGCCCTGCCCTAGAGCCCGGGTGGGGTTGGGGAGGAGGCGCGCAGAGCCCTGGAGACCCGGACGCTCGGGTTCCCCGGCGACCTGTCAACACTGCTCCCGGAAAGGGTTGGTGGGACTCCGGGGTAGACACCTCGCTGTTGCTGGAAGGATGGGGGAGTGGTAGGAGGGTCACCGTCGACCAGAGCGTGAGCACTTCATAAATATTTAATGACAGTATTAGTATTAATAATGTCATAAAACGGGCCCCGTGTGTCCTCCCGGGACATTTACACCTGGCAAGGCCGAGGGATCTCCAGAGTGGCTTCTAACCCACTTTAGCGCTGAGATCGCCCCCTCGGCTGGCATGGGAAGCCTAAAACCTTTACAGAATAGTCTCTGAGGCCGGGAGGAAATAAAAGCTTGTCAAGAAGCCTCGCTAGGCCAAACACAGGAAGCTCCTAGCCCAGAGGGAGAAGAGGCTGGAGCCTTTTGGCTCTTTTTAATTCCTTGTTCGTAAAGTAGATGGTTGATCCTCAATTCCGTGTCCGTGTCTGTGTCTGTGTCCGTGTCCGTGTCCGTGTCCGTGTTCGTGTCCGTGTCCGCGTGTGTGTGTGTGTGTGTGTGTGTGTGTGTGTGTGTACCTCCTCCTGTCACTTTGGTGATCTCCGACAGTCAACACTGACTGGCAAAAGGCGCCCTGGATATAGTGGCATGTATTCCGTTTTGATTGAAGTTGGTGCTCAGGGTGATGTTTCTGTGACCCGAGACCTCTTTACATATGTGCATTAGAACTACATTCATTCCTTCATTGATTCTATAGACATAACCAGCAAGCGCCACACTAAGACAAAGCCCCACCTGTCCTGGAGTGAGCAAACGGATCATAAACACAAAAACAATCAAATAATAATGGGGAGCCGGGCAGTGGGGGGGGGGGGAGAACGCTGATTTTTTCTTTTCTTCCTTGAGGCACTGCCCGGCAACTAAGAAAAGTGAGGCTGTGGCGCACAGCTGTAATCCCAGCAGCAGGAGAACCAAAGGTGCGCATAGTGAGACTGTCTCAAAAACTAAACTGCAAACAGAAGCCCCAAACCAAACACCAACCTCAATAAATACAAACCAGGAAGGGGGCGCTGGCTAGATGGCTCAGCAGGTGAAGACCGGCACTGCCAAGCCTGCCACTGAGTGTTCGACCCCCGAACCTCACGTGGTAGCAGCGGAGAAGCCGTGGCGTGTGTGCCCCGCGGCACTCGGGCACTGGCATTCATAGATGTACAGACACAAACTAAGAAATAAATGTCAAAGAGAAGAGAAATCAGTAGCAACAGCAAAGGAACAAAGAAGCCGGGTGGTGGCTACACCTTTAGTCCCCTTAGTCCCAGCACTCGGGAGGCAGAGGCAGGCGGATCTCTGAGTTTGAGGCCAGCCTGGTCTATGACGCGAGTTTCAGGACAGTCGGGGCTATATAGAGAGACCCTGTCTTTAAAACAAACAAACAAACAAACAACAACAACAACAAAAACCCAAGCAAACAATTCAAGAAAAGAAAGTCTGGAAATATAGTAGAGAGTATTGCATCTGTACAAATCACATACACACACTCAAAAGCACACACACACATAGACACACTTGAACATGCACACATATACACACATGCCTGCGCACACACACCCTAATAAGGAGAAAATACATACCACAAAGTGGAAGAAATTGGTGCTTCGTGTAGCGCTCAGTGGAGCAGCACTTACCTGGCATGTACAAGGACAAATTCAAACCCAGGACTGAAAATTTAAGAAATAAGAAAGAAAAGAAAATTTGTTTCCTAACGGTTCTCTGCTTCAAGGGAAAAAAAAAAAAAAAAACTGGATGTGCTGACGCACACCTTTAATCCCAGCATTGGAGAGGCAGAGGCAAGCTGACCTCTGTGAGTTCAAGGCCAGCTTGGTCTACATAGTGAGTTCCAGGACAGCTAGGGCTATGCAGAGAGACTTTGTCTCCAAAGAAAGTGAGAGAGAAAGAGAGATAGAGACAGACAGACAGAAGAAAAGAAAAGAGAAAATCATATTTCCCCTCCCAGACTTAATTACTATGCCATTATAACAGTAACACTTGGGCTGTAACTCAGTGGTAGAGCACATGCTTAGCACGCACAGCACCCTGGGTCCAACTTCCTGTCCCGTAAGTAAACAAGTAAATAAAATCATAATAGTAATCATTTACATTTCATAATACTTTACGATTTGAAACATTTGGTATACATGCTTTATTTCAGTTAACATAATAGCAGTAATAGAACTGGGGTTGTAACTCAGTTGGGACAGTTGCCTAGCGTACATGGAACCTTGGGTTCCAGTCCGAAGGCCCCATTAACTACGTGCCCCTGTAACCCCAGCACTAGGGACTGGGAGGCAGGAGAACAAGAAGTTCAAGGTCATCTTCAGCTACATAGGGGATTCCAGGCCAGCAAACCAAACAACAGTAGTAACACTCATGGTTTCTGCATGCTAGGCCCTATTGTAAATGCCTTACATAAATGTTACCAATTGAAAGTTGGACATAATAGCATGAGAATATAGTGGTTACCATGGGGCTGGAGAGATGCCCCAATAGTTGAGAGCACCTGCTGCTCTAACAGAGGACCCACATTCCATTCCCAGCAGCCATATGGCAGCTCGCTACTGCCTATAAATCCAAAGTAGGAAAATCCTTAGAGAGAGCAGGTAAGTGTTTCCACAGGCTGGGAGGGGCAGGGCCAGCAGCGTTTCTACCATGGATGTAAAATTCCCTTTTAGGTCATTCAGAATGTTCTTGAACTAGAAGTACCGATGGTTGCACAACATCGTGAATGTACGGAATTCCACTGAAATGTATACTTCAAAAATCATTACAGTGGTGGCCACGCCTTTAATCCCAGCACTCAGGAGTCAGAGACAAGTGGCGCTCTGAAGTTTTAGGCTAGCCTGGTCTACATAGTGAGTTCCAGTCCAGCTAAGGCTACCTAGTGAGAATCTCTCTGAAGATATAAATAAAATTATTGAAGTGGGTACTGGGGATGCGGCCCAGTGATGGGCACTGGCTAGTGCACACCAAGCCTTGAGTTCAATCCCCGGCATCACAGAAAGGGAGGTGAATGTTACAATAAAACGATTAAACTCATCAGTTCTCTGCCATGTGAATTTATATTTGTTGGGGCTGCTGCAACAAAATATCATCAATCAGGTAGCTGGTAAACAGCAGAAGTTCACCACTTGTAGTGCTGGGGGCCGGGAAGGCTGAGGTCAGGTTGTCTGCACCTGTTTCCTCAGAGACAAGGGGCATCTGGCTGGGAAGACTGCCCTCCTGATCTCCTCATCTCCTCCTGGACACTCCCACCTCTTCAGTCTGTCACCTCGGGGCTTAAGAGTCCAGCAGATGAGAGGGGATGCAAACATTCAGACCACAGCAGAACTTTACCTCGGCGTGTAAAAGGCTTGTGGGGCTTCGGCTATAGCTCAGAGGTAGAACACTTGACTAGTAGACTCGCAGCCCTGGATTCAGTCCCCAGGACGACAAAAGAAAGCAAAACTCTTACAGGAGAAAAAAGTAAAGAAAGGAAAAGAAAAGAAAGGTAAGGGTAGGGAACAGTGCTCTGGGTTTCCTCAAGTGTGACGCGGTGACATTAACAGCCGCCGATCCCCAGAGTCGAGATGAGTAACGTGTCAGTTAGTGTCACATGAAACACTCATCCCACAGCAGGTACCCAAACTAAATGTCAATTACCTTTTCTCCTACACAAATGTCTAACCTGTTTGCCTACTTAAAAAAAAAAAAAATGGCTCCAGCCAGACAGCCTGTCCTCACATGGGGTTCACCCACTCTTGCTTCCTGCACCTGGCGGGCCAGGCCACCAGTGGAAACATATTGCCTCCTATGTACAGGGCAACATGGTCCTTGGGCCATCGCTGCGGATTCTGTGGACTCCGCCACTGAATCAGAGGCTCCAAGGCCTGTTGGAAGAGGTCTAGGAGGTGGCATTTTGAAGACTAGCTCTGGAGTGTGAGAGCATCGGGTTAAATCTCTCTACTGTCTCCTCAGGAGGCCTGCCCAGGGAAACACTGATGTCCAGACCCCCCTCAACCTCTGCCTAAGGTTCTGGGTGTCTCTTAGCTCCACTTTGGGCTCTTCTGGGTGTGCTGTCACCCCTTGGACTAGGGGGCCCCAGAGACAGGTGCCCACCCTCTCTGTCCTTTGCCTTCCTAAACACAGATCTTCTGGGTCTCCCTGGGTGTGGCTTGTCCTGGGATATGAGAGAGAAGAGAGAGAGAGAGAGAGAGAGAGAGAGAGAGAGAGAGAGAGAGAGAGAGAGAGTCTTCAGAAGTTGTATTGTCTTCCTTTGTTTCCTTCCCTGTGTTCTTGGGAGCGCTCGGCCTCTTCCCCTGCCATTCTGTTTCTGACTTTTCTAGATAGTCCGGAAATTCCAACGCTGTGTCCCACCAGCCTTTGCTTTCCTGCTCCTGTCTTACCCAGGATGCACTAGGTGTGGGCTGGCCCCCACCCCACGCCGCAGTGACCATGGATCCTGGAGCTGGCTCTGACTCATCTCTGACTGTGAATGAGCAGGTATCTTCAGGAGTAAGAAGTGGGGGTGGCGAGGGTCACGGACTGAGGTCAAGGGAGAAAGACGTAACGGTGCCTCTCATCGTCTGTCTCTCGTTGAAATTTATGATCACTCCACCTGCCCAAAGGCAGTGTCAGCTAGGGTTTCCCAGGGGCTGAGTCTGGGACTTTAAGATGGAACTTCAAAATTAAAATTAAACTTCACTGGGGGCCGGAGAGATGGCTCTGCAGTTGAAAGCATTGAGAGTACTCTTGCAGAGTATGTGGGCCTGATTCCCAGCACCCACACGACTGCTCACAACCATCTGTAACTCCAGTTCCAGAGGATCCCATGCCCTCTTCTGGCCTCTGAGGGCACTACATGCATGTGGTATGCATACATGCAAGCAAAACACCCATACACATAAAAGAAAAACTAAGATCTCAAAAACCTGTTGAAGTGTACAAATACCTATACATGTTTGAAAAGGTGATTTTTTTAATGCTTTTTTATGCTTCTATATATTTTCTGTCATTTCTGAAATGACTACTTACACCTTAAAAGAAGAAAGCAAATCAGCATCCCTTGAAATGTAATTGTGGTGAAATCCCTCAGAGGTCAAAATTGAGTCTGCCAAAGGAACCTGCTTTGGTTTATCTTCATTCCTCTTGATGGGTCCCCCAGTGCCTGTTCTGGCACAGTCTATGGCCGCAGCCAGTTTTCAGGGTACAGTGTTGTTCCAGGCACTGTTGATGGCTGACACAAAGCTTTTTCATGTGTGGGGTTCAATTGGTATTCTTCCCCCATCCCTGGAGCTGAGGATCGAACCCAGGGCCTTGCGATTGCTAGGCAAGCGCTCTACAACTGAGCTAAGTCCCCAACCCCCAGTTGGGATTCTTTTTTTTTTTTTTTTTTTTTTTTTGGTTTTTCAAGACAGGGTTTCTCTGTGTTGTTTTGGTGCCTGTCCTGGATCTCACTCTATAGACCAAGCTGGCCTCGAACTCACAGAGATCTGCCTGGGTCTGCCTCCCGAGAGCTGGGATTAAAGGCGTGTGCCACTACTGCCCGGCCCCAGTTGGGCCAGGATGGCACATTTCAGTGGTGGTATAAAGAACTTTGTGCAGGATGTTTGAGCAGGGGTTCATGGGAGGTGCCCTCACCTATGGAAACGAGACCATGGGGACCTTGACCAGGTCAGAGTGAGGCAGGAAAAACTGCATTTTGGGGTTTCTTGACCCTTCTTTGGGGAAATTAGCTTGCAGGGGACATCTGGTATCCCGAGTTTAGAAGTTACTCAGGGTTGGAGAGATGCCTCCGTGGGTAAAGCATTTGCAGCATAAGACAGCCCGAGTTAGAGCCCCAGGGCCCACATAAGAAAGCTGGAGGTGGTGGTGTGGATCAATAATCTCAAACCTCCTTCGGTGAGACGAGAGAACCTCCTGGAAGCTGAAGTAAGTCCCCAGCCTGGCAGGAGGAAGAGACCCCACCTCAGCAAGGTGAAAGGAGAGAATTCCTGAAAGGTGTATGAGTACTGTGGCATGTGTGTATTCACACACACACACACCATTAATGAAGAAAATAATCCCAAGTTGCTGAATCCTGTGGAGCACTCACTTCCCCCACCCCCCACCCTGGGAGCCTTCTGGTGGTCTCTAGGGGAAGTTAGGACAGATTTCTTCTGGGTCTCCATCCTCCATTATGGAGAGAACTCATATCTCAATATCCAAGAGGATGATGCTCTTGCAAGCTCGAGGAACGAGCCATTTTCCACTTCCTGAGCTAAGTCCGAGATGGGAAGCAAACAGAAATACCTCCTGTAGCTAGTTTTCCTGCCTTGCCCACCCTGACAGTTTGGCTCTGTGGGACTTTTCTTCCTGCCTCCAGGGTCTGCTTGCTTCTAGCAGCTCCTTGGTGTGAATCAGGGACAGTAGCTTGGCCCAAATGCAGGCTTTCTCAGAGTGCTCTATTGTCTGGACAAGAGCTGCGTCCTGAATCCCCCGTCCCTCTCCTGGTCATACCCAGAGCTCCGGCCCCTCTCCCTGGCACCGTTCCGCATCTTCTACTTTCAGGTCATTGTGATGTCAGGCCACGAGACCATCCGAGTGTTGGAAGTCGGAGTGGACGCTCAGCTCCCGGCTGAGGAGGAGAGCAAAGGACTGGAGAGTGTGGCCGCTGACGGCCCCCAGAGTGGAGGCTCTACTGAAGCCAGTGAACCTGGTGGTGAAGCTGGGCCGCACGACCCAGACCGTTCTGCAGAAGCAACTGGTATGAGGCTATTGCTCTAATCCACTACTGCTCCCACGTGTCCCTGATGCCCAGGGGGCATTAGGGTCTTGTCTTCCGGCCCACTTGGCAGCCTCTGGCGACAGTCCATACTTCCGGCCAGTTTCCAGGAATACCCTGCCCTCCTTGTATCTGGAGTTGGGTTCCTTGCAGTCTCACCCGTGCCTGAACTGAGACGGCCCAGGGTGAAGATTGGCATGTTCAGCCTAGAGAGGGTCCTAGGTCCACACCAGACTGTCAAGTCAGTGTAGGAGAGACCAGCCTCAGGACCCCACCAGGTTTCCAACTCAATCCCATTTGTGGCAGAGCTGGGAGATCCGGGAGCCGATTAGAGGCCTGCACTTCCAACCTCGGCGTGCTGCCAAGTCTGGCTTTGTCTTGCTAGGTAGTGTATAGCCCAGGCTGGTCATAAACTCATTTTCAATTCTCTATTCTTCTGCCTCGGCCTCCTGCACACTAGGATTAGAGGCAGGAATCACACTACTGCCTACGGTCCAGCTTCGGCTCTAATAAAAATCAGTGTTTCCTTTCTCTACGGTAGGCTTTTCTCCCTGTCACAAGCCCATTTTCATTGCTTCTTTTCATTGATTTATTATTTATGTGTGCGCATGCACACACATATAACATGCACACATGTGGAGGCCATAGAACAACATACAGAGTTGGTTCTCTCCAGCTTCCTGGTGGTTCTGCAGATGGTGCTCAGGTTCGACTTGTTGGCAAGAGCGCTCACGTGCTGAGCCGCTTTGCCAGCCCCACGTCCCTGTTTTCTTGTTTCATTACTTTTTGTCCAACAGAGTGGTTTTCACTTTTCCTGTGTTCAGATCATCCTGACTGCCCTGGGTTTTCCCGACAGTCGACAGCCCGACTTCCCTTCACGGGAGAGAGAACCCTGACACTTGCTTTTCTTTTTCTGGCTTGTAAGGCCTGTGTCATACGTGTCTCCAGTCCTTTCAACTGTCTGGGTGTTATCATTAGGTTCCGGGAACAGTTATATGCTTAGGTTAAGGTGATTACAAAGCAAAACAAAATCCCCCAAACACAGAAAAGCATAGGCTGGCACTGCAGAGCTGGGCAGGCCCGAAGGTCACCTGACAGGGTAGCCCACTCTGCTGGGCACTGGGTTCCAAAGGCGCTTTAACGTGGGGTTGGGGAGAGGAGAGAGATTGATTGATTACAGTTCTCTATTCCTGACATTCCAATTCAGGCCTGGGCCTGAAAATGTGTGCCCAGCTAGGGCGTAGTAAGAAGCCCTGCCAGATGGTGGCAGCACACACCTATAGTCCCAGAGCTTTAGGAGGCAGAGGCAGGTGGATCTCTGAGTTGGAGGCTAGCCTGGTCTACATAGTGAGTTCCAGGACAGCCAGGACTACACAGAGAAACCCTGTCTCAAAAACAAAGAAACAAACAAAAAACCACTGATATGTCCAACATCCATCACCCAATAACTAGATTCTACTTTTCATTATTTATTCATTTGTTCGTTTGCTTGCTTTTTTGGCTATCTGTCTGTCTGTCTATCTATCTATCATCAATCATCTATCTATCTATCTATCTATCTATCTATCTATCTATCTATCTATCTATCTATCTATCAACCTATCTATCATCCATCTATCATCTATCTATCTATCATATTATATCATATCTGTCTATCTATCTATCTATCTATCATCTATCTATTATTTTTTCAGTGCCAGGAATTGAACTAGGCAAGCAGTCTACCATCATGCTGTATCCCCAGCCTTAGACTCATATTATTGTCTGGCTTGTGAAATGATGGTTTTTAATCTCCCTGTTGTGTGGCTGTGATGAGGTTTCCTGGCAGAGCACCCCAATTCCTGAATTGGCCAAGCAAGAAGAGGTGAAAAATTGCAGTTCATGGAACATTCCTTTGGAAACTCACAGAAACTGCCCTTTTTGACTAAAGACTTTACAGAATAGTGGGGAAGGCTAAGTGTCACCCTACAGTGTGACAATGATATGCCTGTCCAGTTTTCAGGGACTTGCCCCTTCCCCAAGTGTCTAAAAAATTGTCTTGGATGGGCTAAGAAACAGGTCGGTTGCTGGCTAAGCCCAGGACGACTGCTTTTTGCTCTCAGATCTAGCTTTTCCCTCCTGACATACATTTGCTTCAGGCTCCTGGATGCTATGTGACAGACCAGTGTCCTACAGAGCCAGGAAATAATGAACAGAGCCCGGCATTTCCTTCCAGTAGGTGTGGGAAGAGAGTACCCACATTCCGGGTCTGGCCGAGGGCTCTCCAGCCTCCTCGTCATTACTGGCCACATTTGGGAAGCTGCCCCATGGGCCAGGGAAGGCAACCAGCTGGCTCTAGACTATATGCAGAAGTACAGCGTGGGTTTGCAGAGATGCTGTACCCCTCCCGCATCGGTCTCACTCCCGTCCTGCTTTCTCTCTCAATGCCACGTGAAGTGAAGTCTCTCCCCGGGATCCCTCCAAGTCCTGCCCCAGCCATCGCCACCTTCAGCCAAGCCCCAAGTCAGCCTCAAGCATCACAGACCCTGACGCCGCTGGCTGTACAAGCTGCCCCCCAGGTAAGGGCCACGTCCGGGAGCCGGACAGAGGGCAGTGGGCAGGAGCAAGCACAGGGTGGCCATGGGCTTGGGAACTTCGTGAGGCAGGGCAGGAAAGAGGCTGCCCTTGTGGCTTGAGGGAGGGAATGTCCCACTAGGTATCCCTAGGCTGCCCCTGCCCCAGATCAGGCCCATCGGGAAGGAGAATGTGCGGTTGCCGGACATCTTCCCTGGGTCCAGAGAGGGCTGGTGTTAACTCTTTCCTGAGAGAGTTTGTGCCTATCTAACGATGGGATGAGTAAGCACCCTTGTCAGGCCCCACCCCCCACCCCCACAACACCCAGCAGAAGAGTTAATGCCTTGAAGAGTTAATGAATTGTCCAGTCAGTTAAGTTATAAAACTGCCCAACCGATGAAAAGCTGCCTGTAGAATCCCGCAGGCCAGCAGAGCCTGGGCGACCTCTGCTTGTACACTGACCTCCAAGGCTTCCGGTCAGGGTGCCCTTTACTAGAGAGTCTCAGAGACCTCTGTGGGCCCTTGAGCACTTGGCAGCAGCTTCTGCTCCCTGTCCCCTGACCACAAAACAGTGGACACACCAAAGGGCCGGCTCTGAAAACACACATACAAGTTACACAGACTGGACTGGTTGCACCTAGGGACTTAGGAATGTGTACACACACACACACACACACACACACACACACACACACGTGATATATATGAAATATATCAACAATTAATGAAAAAAGAGAATAAGGACGGGCATATTGGAGACTTTGGAGGGAGGAAAAAGGAAGGAGAAATGGTGTGTTTGTATTATAATCTCAGAAAATAAAAGAAATAATGAAAAAGAACAAACACTGTACGTACAAATGCATCCCGGGGAAGGTTTGAGAGGCAGCAGAGTATGGGGTGGAGGAGGCCTGTGCACCCTCCAGGGCCGGGCCTTCTCTGCAGGCAGCGTAGTCTGACCCAGACACCCACCCACGGGGTTAGGCCCTCAGCCGGGCCCTTCCTGCTGTCCTCCGGCCTTTGCCCCACTGCCCTCAGAATGCTTGTTTGTGCTCAGCGGGGTCCGAGAGACCCCTCGTTTGCGCTGCGGATGTTGATTTTTTCTTTTTTCTTTATTTTTTTCTTTTCTTTTTGAAATCTCGTTTGCTTTTGCAGGTCTTGACTCAGGAAAACTTAGCCACAGTTCTGACAGGAGTTGTGGTTCCGGCAGGGGCGGTTACTCAACCTCTTCTTATCCCCATCAGTATTGCAGGTCAAGTGTCTGGGCAGCAGGGGCTGGCCGTGTGGACAATCCCTACAGCAGCCGTGGCTGCCCTCCCCGGACTGGCCGCGGCTTCTCCTACCGGGGCGGTCTTCAAGCCGCCTTTACCTGGCCTCCAAGGTAACGGCAGCTCTCCCAGGACTGCACCAGGCCCCCACCACCCTACATTGCCACCCCTGCACCAGTACTTACCATGTTGGACTCAGAACCTGCAGCCCACCCGGGGCCACAGCCCTGGATTCTGGATCCAGTGTCATAAGCACCCAGCCACAGAGCCGCTGCACCTCCTCGGGACTCTAGGCCAGGACACCAGGCTGGCCAGCAGGCCTGCCTTCCTCCGGCCTGCTGCTTGAGACTGCCCCCCTCCCCCCACCAGCATCCACCCCATGACCAGCCAGAAGGAGACCGCGAGAAGAGTCGACGTCTGTTTTCTCGAACCTACATGTCTGCTGCCGGCCCAAGGGAGGGGGGAGGATGAGAGATGCTGGCATGTGCCGGCCCTTCAGGCATCCAGGGAATCGCAGCTGCCCCACGCCCACTGCCCCCAGTGCCCTGCCATATTTGTGCCAGATCCCTTGGGACTGGAGCCGTGCCGGGTCGCGGCTAGGCGCTTGAGCCACCTCTGTCTCTGCCTTGCTCCGTAGCAGCTGCCGTGCTGAGCACCGCCCTCCCGACACCTGTACAAGCTGCCCCACCAGTCCCGGCCTCCTCGCCCGCCCAGCCCCGGCCACCAGCTCAGCCCCAGACGCTGTTCCAGACCCCGCCGCCGCTGCTACAGACCACGCCTGCCATACTCCCGCAGCCCACCGCCGCCACTGCCGCCGCCGCCCCCACCCCAAAGCCAGTGGACGCCACCCCGCAGATCACCGTCCAGCCAGCAGGCTTCGCGTTTAGCCCGGGGATCGTAAGCCGCTGCCCTCACCCAGGGCTCCAAGGGATGGATCAAAGCTTGGGCCAGGGGTGGAACCTCCCCCCCAGTGGAGGACCAGCCCCTTGAATGCAGCCGTTTCCGACACATCAGCAAAGACGGGCTCCCTCTGAGGTCTCCTTACACCTGTCAAGCTGCCCTACCCAGACTAAAGCAAGCGACGGCTGGGGAGATGCTCCAAACAGGAACCACTGGACCAGCCTTGGGGGTGGGATGCGCAGGAGCATCACAGCTTCATGCTGGCGTCTATCCGGTGTGGCTCTTGGTTTGGGAGTAGAGATGCCAGGCATGACTTGGGACACGTTTGTCCCTCTAAGTCTGGCCATCTACCCTCTCAGACTTAGCTGGAAAAAGTAGCAGGCGTCACTGTTCTGGGGCTGTGCCCCTCCCCGGCTGTCCCCTGTACTTGTCCCCCCTAGCCTCGAATATTCAGCCAGTGGACATGGTCCTGCAGCCCACACTCACCACTCAATGCCCTCAGCCCCCTCGCCTCTCTCTGGGCTTTCCACCTCTTGGCCTCTGAGCAAGGCTCTTCCTCTACCCACAGATCAGCGCTGCTTCCCTCGGGGGACAGACCCAGATCCTGGGCTCCCTCACCACAGCTCCAGTCATTACCAATGCCATTCCCAGCATGCCGGGGATCAGCAGTCAGATCCTCACCAATGCTCAGGGACAGGCAAGTGTTCAAAGCCCGGGCTGAGGGGGTGGTGGTCGTGGGGCAGCTGGCAAGGTAGGGGTGAGGACTTGGCCTTCGGTCCTGTCAGAGAAACTCAAGTAGGGTATCAGGCTGCTGCTTATAGCTTCTGCAGCAGCTCTCTGCTGGCATGCGTCCGGGGGTGGAGGGGGGGGGGGTGTCGGCGCCAACTCTGCCCCAGCAGTGTTAATTCTAGTTGGGAGGTTTTATTCACATACCTTCCCGCTTTGTGGGCCGGCCTCGCGCTAGGAGCTTTCTCACGTATTATCTCACTTGGTTTGGAGTACAGACCTATCAGGGGATCTTTTGTTTTATGAGAGAGAAGGGCGAAATTCAGAAATGCTAAACTGAGCAGTTAAAATGTGGCAGACTAGCAAAGAGCCCAGCTTCCGGCTCTCTGATACACAGAAAAGCCTTCACCTGGCCCACCACAGCTCCAGGGACAGAGCAAAGAACCCCTGGGCTGTGAGTCCTTTACTCTGCTAAGGAAGCGGAGGCCAGAATGCTTACAGTTCCTCCAGTTAGTCTCTTTGCCTGCAACTGTGGGGATTTGAATTGGGGGTCCTGGATGCACCCCCCCCACACACACACACCTCATATGCGGGGACCATGCTTTATTTTCTCCCAGGTTATTGGCGCACTTCCATGGGTAGTGAACTCGGCTAGTGTGGCCACACCAGCACCAGCACAGAGCCTGCAGGTCCAAGCCGTGACTCCCCAACTCTTGTTGAATGCCCAGGGCCAGGTGATCGCAACCCTAGCCAGCAGCCCCCTGCCTCAGCCTATGGCTGTCCGGAAGCCAAATACACCGGAGTCCCCTGCTAAGAGTGAGGTACCAGGGCTGGGGGTGTGGGTGGGCATGGGAAGGCAATGCCGTCTAGCATGGCTACTTCCCTCAGAAACTTCCGGGAGAACAAGGGAGGAGCCCCCCCACCAGCAGAAGGCTTACATGAGTTCACACACACCCTGCCCAGGGAAACAGCACCCATTCTCAGCCCACCACATACCACAACATGTGTCTGTGCCCACAGAGGTCAGAGAAGGCAGGAAATAAGTGAGCAAAGCATATTGGGCACTGATCATCCTTTGGGCGAACAAACTGCTAAAGAAAACTCTGGGGGGGCGGCGAGCTCTGTACCCCACCACCACGCACCAGGCACCTTAACTCGTGTTTCCGTTCTAGAAGAGATTTTGAGTGCCCGTTGTATTCCAAATGCTAAGGATGTAGAGATGACTGGGATTGCTTGGTACCCAGGTAGCTCAGTGTTGCGGGTATTTACAGGTCAGCATTCAAAAGACTGTGAGGGAGGCATGACCAAGGGGCTGAGGTACCCCCCAAATGACTGACTGACTGGGGTCAGGATAGCTCCGGAGAGGAAGGATGAGCTGGATGTAGTGTGTGCTGTCCCTGGGAACCGGGACAAATGTGGTAGCCAGCGCGTGGTTCTTAGACCTGTGGACTGGGGTCTCTTGCAGGGCTGGGCAGGGCTGAGTTTCTTTTCCAGTAGATCTGAAATGAGACCCATGGATATGCTGAGTTCCCAGATGACGTTTAGGCGGTGATTGTCTAATACTATATGCTGCTTCCAAGAAGCTTCTAAATGACCCCTTAGCCTCAGCTGTAAGACAGTGGTTATCAGAATTCCTACTTCTGCAGGGTGGTGGTGCTGCACGCCTTTAATCCCAACACTCAGGAGGCAGAGGCAGGTAAATTCCTGAGTTCAAGGCCAGCCTGGTCTACAGAGCAAGTTCCAGGACAACCAGGGCTACACAGGGAAACCCTGTCTCAAAAACAAAACAAAACAAGAAAAAAAAAAGAGAGAGACTTAAGTTTGGGGGCTGGAGAGATGGCTCAGCAGTTAAGAGCACTGGCTGCTCTTCCAGAGGACCCAGGTTCAATTCCCAGCACCCACATGGCAGCTCACAACTGTTGGTAACTCCATTTCCAGGGTACCCATCACCCTCATACAAATATACACACAGGCAAAACACCAATGCACATAAATAAGTCAAAAAAAGAATTCCTGCTTCTGTCGTGTGGGATGGTGCACATCTGTAATCTTGGCCAGCCTGGGCTATGTAGGGAGTTCAGTTCCAGCTTGGGTTATGGGATGCTTTCTCAAAACACAAAAACAAAAATAAAACAAACGAAAAACATCTCTTCAGAAGTTTATGAATATTACATCAAGGAACCGACACTCTGATATACAGTCAGCTTCTGATGGTTGTTATAGAGGGAGCTGCTGCTGGGCTTTCAGTGGCCGACAGATGTGCATCTTAGA